TGAGTCCTTATTTGGTTATATAATGCAAGGTGGTTAGTCTTAAAACCATATATGCACAACCAATAGAAATGGATTCAGCAAGTTTCATTCAGCATACATGCATAACAAGGAAGAAATTGGCTGGGAACAATTTGGGATGGAGAGAGGACAAGGAAGGCAGAAGTTGTTGCAGAATATTTGAATATGGTTTATAGAAAACCTAATTTTTAGCAAAGTATGCAAACTTAGACAGAGTGCTCTTGTCAGATAAAGTTAGGTGTGTTCTCAAAAGATTCAGTTTCGCTGTGTCTTTGAAAGCCTCCATCAATAAGAATGCTATAGAATGGACATTCCTGCCTATTTTAAGACAAATTGTTTGAGAGAAGTTTTATGGTCTTTGCTCAGTGATAATAGGCAATGTGACCTCATCCAGGTCACCTTGTGTGGCTCCAAGGGCAAAATGAAAAGGATTGTTCCCTTACTGACTTTCTTGCAAATCCCTCCACTTTGAGGGTGACTAGGTTCAGCCTGCCAAGAGTATAGTGGAGAAGCTAGAGACTTCTTTTTTTATAGCACTTGGACATCTTGGTACATGCACTATTTGGGTTCTCTCTCTCTCTCTCTCTCTCTCTCTCTCTCTCCCCCTCTCACTATCTATCTCCCTCTGTCTCCCTTTCCCCCTCCCACTCTCTTTTTCCATCTCCCCTTCCTGCTCTCTCACTCTTCCCTTTCCTCCAATCCTCCCTTCTTCTCCATCCCTCTCCCTATTCCCCCTCTCTTGTTCTTTGTTCTCTTCTCTCTCTTGTTTTGCAAAACCTTCATAGAAGAAGCTCCAGGTAAGAGACAGGGATTATCTCACTGGGTTTACAGAAACCACAAAGCAGCAGCTGGCTGGTAAAACAAGATTTGAGGAAAGAGAGCTAAGGAGCCCTCATGGATTTGGAGGAGCTAAAGAGAAAGATAGACTGGCTAGGTAAAAGGATGCAGATAGAAAAAAAAAAATTCTGATAAACTAGAAATTTAGTTGTAGAATCAATCTTGAAAATAGATATTTTGAATACAGTTAGGAAAACAAAGTTACCTCATTGAGGTAGCAGCTCACAGCTCCCACCTCACATGTCATTATTAGGAATAAATATTAGATGAATTTGAAAAGGTAAATATTGTAAAAACTGTTGTAATATATTTTACTTCAACTGTATAAAAATATATTCTAAATTTAAAAAGCAGCTAGAGAGATGCTTAGCAGTTATGAGCATTGGATATTCTCCCATAGGACACAGATTCCAATCCCAGAAACCATATGGTTGTTAAAGAGCTCTGTTACTTCAATTCCAAAGGATCTAATGCCCTCTTCTGGCCTCCTCAGGTACTTCACAGAGACCGTGCAGGCAAAACATTTATACATGTTAAAAAAAAAAAAAAAAATTCCTGGAGAGATGGCTCAGTGGTTAAGAGCACTGTCTGCTCTTCCAAAGAAACCAGGTTCAATTCCCAGCACCCACATGGCAGCTTACAACTGTATGTATCCCCAATTCCAAGTGATTTGACACCTTCACACTAATGCACATAAAATTAAATAAGTTATTTTAAAAGAAACTTCAAAGTGGAATTCTGTATGGTAATGCCACAGCAGTGACACAGACAGCAGATGGAGCTACTTAAAATGCATCTGTGGCCTTTCTCTGATCCAGCTTGCTCAGAAGGAAAAGCAGCCTCATTCTGAGGTTAGAATATATCAGAGCAGAGCTGTTCGTGTAAGAACAGTAAGCACAGTGCTGTTAGGTGACTTTTTCTAGATTCTTTCTGTGTTTGTGTTCTCTGTCCTTGGTATGTGTGAGAACTGTGTCATTGCCATATCCTTTAATTCTATCTTTTACATCATACATCATAATCGAACAGGTAGATTTGCTCTGTAAATCTCCATCTGACTCAGTGGCTAGGCTTGCAGTCTCCTTTCCCTATTTAATTACCTAAAGTGAAACCTGGGACCTGTACCTAAAAGAGTAAGGTTGACAGCATATGTGTAATGCACAATCTGTTCTTGCTGCCCCTCCTAGAACATTAGCCAGAGCTGGATGCATGCTATCATTAAAGAGATTTTTCTTTATTGAACTCTTAAGTGTGTGGAGTGATTTCTCCCTGGAAAATGACAAGAATTTTAGAACAGCTGTACCTCCAGCCTTTTAGAAAAATGTTTCTGAGACAATGTCTCCTATGTTGACTCCACATGTTGCTACCCAGGGCAATAGCATTGCTGTCCTCTTGATTAAACCAGCTAAATTCTTGAGGTAAAGGCCTGTACCACCACCACCACCCCATTTTCAAAATTACCCATTTGTGTCATGTAGCCATTGCAGTAAGGGTAAAAGATTTGCATGAGGAGCATAGTTTCTGCCTTCAGACCAGAAGATGGGGAATAGTTTATTGTGTACACAGAAGAAACAGTGCAGGCAATCAGCTGCTGCTGTCACCAGTATGAAAAAGAACCTGATTACTGGAGGGGGTGGTGATCAAATATTCATGTTACATGAATGAAGACAGACCATATTGTTGTGTGTACAATTTGGGAAGGCTTACTTCAGCCAATGAGTACTGAATTTACGATTATGGCACTGTGCTAAGAAGATACATACAATCATTCCTGACAAACTCAGCTCAGTAAGTTAAGGCACAGGCCTTTGCCTGTAGCTGTGTCAGGTTATATGTCTCAGCAGCTAATATTGCACACATGAGCAAGGTCAAAACTTACCTTACTGATGCCATTCCTTCCTCCAGGAAATGGCCTTATCTTCTTCAAAGTCAGTACAGCTATGTGGGTTTTTTTCTATTACATTTACAGTTTTAACAAGCCAATTATTGGTTTCACTTTTTAACTTTGATTTTTTTTTTTGAAGAGCCATGAGTTATATTGGGGTTACCTATAGGAATATCAATGAATAATTACTTACAGAAGTACAAATGACACACGACAGCTGTATCAGCAAACTAATCCCAGCATGGTGACAGTTCACAAAAGCTGGGAAACTGGAGCATGCTATACAGCCTATGTTACCTCAACAAGTTGAAGAGTGTCCCTTCCGAGTGTCTCAGGTGTTCTAACCACTACCAGGCAGCTTGGCTGGTTTCTTCTTCCTTTTTTCTTTTGCTTATTTCTTTTTAAAACTTATTAGTTATCATTATTATTCACTTTGTATCCTGCTGTAGCCCCCTCCTTCATCTCCTCCCAGTCCCACCCACTTGATTTTCTTTAAATGCATTACTGCTCTCATCTCTTACTTATTTTTTGTCTCCAATATTTCCCAGTGATTAAGAATTTCTTTCCTTTTCTCACAAGTGCTGTTGATCATTTATTTCTGTTTAGAACAATGTCTCCTGAAGCCCACGCTTGCCTTATGCTGTGTAATTGAGAATTGCTTTGAAGACCCAATCCTGCCTCTATTGCCACATGCTGGGAAAGAGTCCTGTATCTCTTTCCAAGCTGGGCCTTAACTAGTCAGTAAAAAGGAAAATTAAACTAGTGCATCAGTTTCCTCCAAACTCTCTGGCTCTTATGGAGCACTTACAAATGAAGAGGGACCTGTGTAAGAATTGAGTTCACTGGCCAACAATAAAGCAGGTGTAGTCACAGCACTAAAGGGAGGAGCAAGAAAGAGGGTGTTTCCATGGTTTGGCTGTAGTTGACATTAGCAATAAGTGGGAGGTCATCATTTTTAGACGATTTTCCCAACTGGCCATTTCTCAGGTTCACAGACCAGAAAAACAAGAATCTGAATAAAGAACTAAACTTATTAAGAAACCAAATTACTGTATTTACATTACTTCAATTGACTAAAACACCAGCAGTTGGGTAATATTGGGTATTTTTCTTAATTGTAGTTTTTGAAGTGGAAAAACCCTTCTTTTCAGGTGATAAAATCCATCTTCAATCTAGGCCAGAGCATCTGGTGGCAGCCTACATATATAAAGGACATTGAAGATGGTAGCTCTTTCTATTTTTCTGCTTGCTCTACTCTGGCTAGCATGACCACTTTCCCCCTTCTGGCAATAGAGCCTCCTTCTTCATAATTCTGGTATGTACAGAAGACCAGCTGAGACATCCAGCTACATGGACTGAACCTCTCTTTTAGTCTTTAACTTTCTCTTGGTAGACAGCCATTGTTTGACTAGTTAGACTACAGCCTGTGAGCCATTCTAATACAGCCACTTTCTACATACACAGAAAGATTCATCAGTTCTGTTCATCTAGAGAACCTGTGGGTTTTTGTTGTTGTTTTTCCACCTTCCCACTGAGGAAAATGTGCTGGCTAGCACTAGTGCTCCAGGTGTTTGTCATCTGTTTTCTGCTTATCTCCCAGGCTTGTCGAGAGTTTCATACCTAGTAAATGAAAAAAAAGCTCCAGTTTATCTAACCCCAGCATGAAGTCACAAAAAAAAAAAAAATATATATATATATATCTTGCTTCATTTCCTAAAATCTCTCTTTAATTGTTAATATTTGTGACACCTTTACACTTGTGGCACAGATTGTTCACTCCGCTGCAAGTTAATTGATTAACTGTGCAAGCTATCCTCCTCGGTTCCAGCAGGAAGGAGGGCAAGTGTCTGCTGAGAGCTGTGGTGGGAGCTGAGGCAAGCTCTGAAGTTGTTGTGCTGTGAGGACAGCATCACGGCCCACAAAGGGGAGGAACAGGGAATGAGCAGAAGGGGTTGGGGTGGTAGGTCCTCACCAGGGCTGAGTGCTGAAACAGACAAGTCTGCTATTAGCGGTCAGAAGCAGTGCTACTGGAATGCAAATGCAAAAAAATAAATAAATAAATAAATAAAAAATTAAAAAAAAAAATGTAGCTCTGGAAAAGGTCTGTCCCTGTACTAGAAGCCTGTGTCAGTAATCTTTATGCTCTGTCCCTTCAGCACTCCCTAACCCTAAAGAACGTGCTCATGTCACTCAATACTCACTGGCCAATCAGAACCCGTAGGCGAACCAGGAGGAGGAGGGCATTTCCGGTGCCGTGCTGCTGTTTACCTTCATTGCAGAGCAAGCTCAAATGATTGGTCTAACCTGCTCTGAGCGCTGTTACTGGGTGCTGTGAGGGGAGCCAGGAGACATCCGAACCAAGACATGGTGAGCACGGGGTTAATGTTCCTAACAGGGAAGAACAGACAGCTGAGCAGCAGGAGCTGGGGTGGTGGGTCTCCCCGGCCTGGGTGGGAATAGGAAGCCAGATGCAGGTACTTGTGAAGTTCCTTGTGGTTGTTTGCTCCAGGGACCCTGTGGTGCCATCGCAATAACTTCATTATGGGAGCTGCAACTGCGCAAAGTGTTTGGAACAGAGGCTTGTGTTTAGAAACATCCTGAGCAGGGCACCAAACTCGGAGAAGTTTAGTGTCTCTAGCATCTTCTAGAAGTTCTGCTGTTGGCATTTAGCATTTCAGTTCATCTGGACTTAATTTTGAGGAGGTCATAAATGGAGTTAATTTTGAGGAAGTCATAAATGGCATCACATCTGTTGGGGAGTATAATTGTATTATTCCTGTAAGGTTTCCCTGTATTCCCCTTTCTTTTACCCCCCCTTTCCTTATCTAAGAAAGAAAGATAGAAAAAAGAAAAAGGAAAAGAAAGAAATCCCTGAGTCTAACCTTGTTTTCTCTCTGAATAAGACCATTACTAATTTATAACCATCTCCCAATGACAATAAACATTCATAGCCACAGAAAACAACAAAAAACCTACCCAACCCCCATTAAAGGAAATTAGACGTCGTTCCCATTTCTAGAATTTCTTCTAGCTGACATTTGGACAAGCAGAAATCCTGTCAGGGGGACCAAAGGAAATTGGGAAAAATTGTTAATTAAGCAAGCATTAACATTTGCGTTCCAGTCTTTGAATGTTGAGAATTTTCAGGCCTTAAAGGAGTCCTGCTTGGAACAATCTAAAATGCTGAAACAATTGATATTAGTAGCTTTCTTCAAAGCTCTCTTGGGAGCAGGCTTTGAGAAGAAACAGCAATTAAAGCAGCTGAGGCAGGAACAAGCAGAATGCTGGAACATGCAAGATGCTGGAACAGATATGTCAATGTCTCAGCATGCTGGAAGGAGGATTTTTGTCAGTTTTGATCCAGTGTCTCCAGTGTCCAGTCCTTTTGTTCAGCAAACATACAACTTTTCACAAGCATTATACACTTCTATTATAAAATTATAAATTTTATAATTATAAAAATTATAAATTTATGAGATGTGCAGGACGAAACTAAACTGTAAACCAGTTTTATTTATGCCAATTAAGGAGTGGCATAATAAATTTTGAAGTTATTGTAGCCAAGAATTTATTGACCACATATTGTTGAAGTTTTGGCTGGAGACATATTGTATTTTATGTCTTAGTCAGTTTCAGAGTTGTTGCCATGTAAAGAGATTAGCAATATAAATTAACATTATTATTGAACATACAATCACTATGATGTTGAAATCAAAGCAAGGCTCTATAGATTAAAATATATATTTTTGGCTCTTGGGCACCTGTTGTATTAGGTGAAGCTGTTACCTATCTACCGAGAGACAAGCTGGTTTCCTTAAGCAATAGAAAACGCGTGTTTTAAGTAAAATTTATGTAAACTCATTTTTACTTCTGAGTTTAAGCATACCATAGGCATCTTGTACCTGTTTGGAGGTATAGACCTAGGTTTTTATATATGTTGTAGCTCTTTTTGTCTTATCCCTCTTTCTATACAGAATGGCAGTTATGCCTTTATAGCCAAACTTTATATAAGCTCCCTTTTACCTTTAGCATTTAAGCATACCATAGGCATCTTGTACTTGGATTTTTTTATATTGGTTGTGGCTATTCTTTGGCTTGCACCTTTTTTGATATGGGATGGATGGTTCAGCCTTTTTAACATACGAATTTTAATATTTGAGTTTCTAGGACTTAAAATAGGCCGGCATGTACTTTGCTACCTGAAAGCCCCCTGTGTCTTTTTTGCATCAGGCATGACTGACATTTGCCCTTCACCCCTCGCTTGAAAATGTCTCACATTTGAAAAGATAAGCCAGCTTCAGAGCAATATGAGATAGTCAACATTTAAAAGGTTTTTTTTGTTTTTTTGTTTTTTCTTTTTTCTTTTTTTTTTTTTTTTTTTTAATGTGGGAGACATGCAGTTTGCATGTTTGTCTCCCAGCCTAAATTTGAGTCCTTACATTGATCAACACAACATATTTCTTAAGCCAAAATGCCCTTTTGTACCAGTTCTGTGTGGAGGGGCCAGTTTTTGAGATTGGCTGGCCTTTTTAGAGGAGTTTGACATCATCTCTCCTTATATAAACCTAAAATTGAAGTGAATCCAACCTTTAGATCAGTAAGGACATAACATCTCTTATTAAGAAAAAAGAATTTACATGGTAACCATAAGGAAAATTTTGTCATTTTGAATCCTAGGCTAGCTAGCTCTGCAAGTGACTAAACAGCAGGAGTTGCCTTCCTGGCTTTTATTATGTAAATTAGGCTGATCTGGAACTCAGAGCTCTGCCTGTTTCTTTTCACTTTGTGTTGGGATTAAAGGAATGTGCCTTCACCAACTTGTTCAAATATTTTTTTTTTCTCAAATTGGTATCATTGTAACTCAAAGCCTTTAAAGGAAAATCAAGCAAAGAGACAAGAAAAATTTAAGTTTTGGTTCAGTTGTGACAGTTTAGGCTGTAACAAGCAAGGCCCAGTTGGTTGTTTTTAATTGAATTTAGTTGTTGTTACAGTGACTCCACAGACCCATACCAGAAAGATCTGACAAGTATCTTGCAGCCAGAGAGCTTTGAATTTTAGCTGCTATTAATCTAATTTTGTTTAGGAAGAGTGCCCTTTCTATTGTCTGTAACTTAGTACTCCATTCCTTGGCTTTTCCTCATTTTCTCCTTGAACTTTCTTGGAGAAGGCTTGCATAAGAGTACCATATAAAGTACCTTTAAACATATTGCAACCAGATCCATGACTATGACAACCAAAACAAAGCCAAAAGGGATTAAAACATCCTCTGCCATGGCATTTTTAATTTTAGATGCAGTTTTAGGCCAAGCTCTATCTAGAGGTCTGTCTAGATAGTTCCTTTCTTTCCAGCATGGCTGCTGTTGTTGCTCTGAGCTGAGCTGAGCCAGCCAGAGTATAAGAAGGCCATGCTTGTGTACCCCTCCAGATTTGTTATGTTAAGTCTCAGGTTTGCCCACAGTATGCTGTCTTTTGCTCCTGAGCCTGTTTAAGAGTCTCTCTTAAAGAGTCAATAATTGACCTGGGAGTTTTTAGGTTTTAAGTTTGGGTTTTATTGCTGGAAGCTTATTCTCCCCCCCCCCCACCAAATTATAATAAAGTATTATTTAAAAGGTGTGGATACTTAGATTAGTTGGGCACCATTTGTTTTGGGTTATTTAATTTATTGTTGATTTATCTTTTACTTAAGCAGCAGTTATTCCTAAACCACCTCTATAAACAAATCACCACACAGAGACTAGGATTTATATAATTTACCTAGAGCACAATGCTGGGCAATATTAACTCCATCTTAAACCTCCAACCCCACATAGTTTGCTATCATTCAGATTTACCCATTTTACTTGCTTTTAGTCATATTTTAGGTCCAATTTGTCTCTCCTCATGGTTCCAAGTCCTGTCCTGCCTATCTCTGACCTCTCTTTCCTCCTTCTGCCCCTGGCTTCCTTCTCCTTCCCTCTGGACCAAGATGTCCCACCCTACTCTCTCCATTGCACAGAACTAGCTGGTGGTTTAATTGACAATAACAGAGAACAAATAGTGGCATGTTCACACAAACTTGAAACAGTCGATACTTATTCTAAGCATCATGATGCAATGACCACATTAAAACCAGATAGTGGGGTAGAGAAAACAACATTTAAATGAACAGGGGTACATTCCACAAGAATGTTATACCAACATCAAAGTATCCTAATTGGCAGATGATTTCAGAGTATATGTAAGTGACCCCAAAATTCTATTACCAAATTCCTCTGTCTGATGAACACTTTCAGGAAAGTGGCTAGATAAAAGAATAATGCAAACAAAAATGGTAGCCTTCCCATATAAAAATGACAAATGGACTGAGAAAGAAATCCGGGAAACAACACCTTCACAATAGTCTCAAAAAATGTGTTAGAGTAACTCAATGCCTAGGATATCCTTAAATGCTGAAAGTAAAAGGTAGTTTACATAAAGTTTGACTATAAAGGCATTACTGCCCATTCTGTATAAAATAGGGGAAGCAAAAGAATAGCCACAACCAATGTAAAAAAAAATTCAGGTACAAAATGCCCAGGGTATGCTTAAATGCTAAAGGTAAAAGGGAGCTTATATAAAGTTTGGCTATAAAGGCATAACTGCCATTCTGTATAGAAAGAGGGATAAATTTTATTGAGTATTTTTGTATCTATGTTCATGAAGAAAATTGAACTTTGTTGAGTCCTTATGTGCTTTGGGTATCAGGATAACCTTAGCTTAACAAAATGAATTGGATAAGGTTACCTGCGTTTCTATTTTGTAGAATACTTTGAGTACTATTGGTGTTAAGTCTTCTTTGAAAGTCTATTTGAATTCTGAGTTAAAACCATCCTGGCATGGGCCCTTTTATAAAATTTATTTATTTTCAATATTTTTTATGTATTACAATTTATTTACTTTGTATTCCAGCTGTAGCCCCCACTCTTGTCCCTTCCCAGTCTCACCCTTGCTCCCTCATCTCCTTCCATGCCCCTTCTCCAGTACACTGATAAGGGGGGACCTCCTCCCCTCAAATCTGACCCTAGCCTATCAGGTCTCATCATGACTGTCTTTCATAATCTTCCTCTGGGCCTGGTAAGGCTGCCCTGCCTCAGGAGAAGGTGATCAAAGAGCCAGCCACTGTTTTCATGTTAGAGACAGCCCTGTTTCCCTTACTAGGGAGCCCATTTAGAGACTGAGCTGCCAAGGGCTACATCTGTGCAGGGGTTCTAGGTTATCCCATGAATTGTCCTTGGTTGGAGTATCAGTCTCAGAAAAGACACCTTGGCCCAGATTTTTTTTTTTTTTTTTTTTTTTTTTTTTTTTTTGGTTCTGTTGTTCTCCTTGTGGAGCTCCAGACCCTTCCAGGTCTTTCTATCTCCCCCTTTTTTGATAGGATTCCCTGCACTCTGTCCAAAGTTTTGCTTGAGTCTCAGCCTCCACTTTAATATCCTGCTTGCAGCGGGCTCTTTTCGTTCAGAATTTTTCATGATGTCTTCTATTTCACTAGGGATTATATGTTTATTTACATTGTTTATGTTATTCTAACATTGGTAATGTAGTACCTATTGAGAACCATATATATACATATATATGCTTTAAATTTTCTAACTAGCTGGAGTGTAGGATTTTAAAATGTGTACTGAAACTCAGAAATCCCCATTGTCTATTTCATTTCTGATTTTATTACTTTGGGTATTTTCTTTCTGTCCTTCAGTTAATTTGGAAATGGGTTTCTCTATTTTATAAATTTTTCTAAAAGAACCTACTCTGTGTTTCATTAATTCTTTTTATTTATTATTATTATTATTATTTTATTCAGTTTAACCGCTAATTGGATGGTTTCTTCCTGTCTCCTCCCTTTGGGTATGCTTACTACTTTGAGTTTTCAGGTGTGCTGTTAACTTGCTAATATGAGATTGGTCATTTTTATAAATGTAGACACTTAGTGCTATAAACTGTCCTCTTAACACTACTTTTTTTAATACCATAAGTTTGAGTATGCTGTGTATTCGTTTTATCAAATTCTAGAAAGTCTTTGATATCTTTGTTTATCCTGTCTTAATTCACTTTTTATTCTGTAAAAAGTTGCTCAGTTTCCATGACTTTGTAAGCTTTACGTTGTTTCTATTGTTAGTGAAATGGAGCTTTAATCTATGGTGGTCTGATAGGATACAGGAGGTTATTTTAATTTTTTAAAAATCTGTTTAGACTTGTTTTGTGATCAAATATTTGGTGACTTTTGAAAAAAAAATCCATGAGGTGCTGAGAAGAAGGTATACTCTTTTGTGTGTGGGTGAATTGTTCTTTAAACTCAGTTATGTTCATTTGTTTGTTAACATCAGTTAGCTCAAGTATTTCTCTGCTTAGTTTCTGTCTGGAGGACCTGTCCATTGGCTAGAGGAAGATATTGAAGTCTCCCACTCTCAGTTCATGAACATCACTGTGTGATTTAAGCTGCAGAAGTGTTTCTTTTACATCTGTGGGCATTATTATGTTTGGGACATAGATGTATTGGAAGGTTCTCTTTGTAGATTTTTATTGTTTTTGATACCTATGTAGTGTGCTTCCCCATCTCTTTTTATTAATTTTTGCTTGAAGTCTATTTTCTTAGATATTTAAATACTCACACTAGCTTGCTTTCTAGGTCCATTTGCTTGGATACTCCTTTACCCCGAGGTTAGGAATATCTTTGACACTGAACTGGTTTTCTTGTATGAAGTGGAAGGATGGATCTTCTTTTCACACCCATTCTGTTAATCTTTGTGTGTTTGTGTGTTTTTTTAATTGGAGAATTAAAGCCATTGATATTAAAATGAGCAGTGACTGTTAATTCCTTTTTTTTTTTTTTTTTTTGGTAAAGAAGGCAGTAGTGGTGTGGGTGTGGGTGTGTGTGCACATGCATGTACATGCTTCCCTTCCTTATTTTTTTCTGATATTATGAGATTATTTATTTCCTCTGTGTTCATGTATGTATTTAGCATTCTTAGGTTGTAGTTTCCATTGTTGCACCTTCTGTATTTCTAGATAGATTTTGTTTAAATTTAACCTTATCATGGAATGTCTTTAATTTCTTTATTTATGATTATTGAAAGTGTTCTGGATATAGTAATCTGGGCTGGCATCAGTGGCTTTTTAGAAGTTGCAGCACATGTGTTCATACCCTTTTGGCTTTTAGAGTCTCCATTGAGAAACCAGGTGTAATTATAAGGGATCTGCTTTTATATCTCACTTGGTCTTTTTTTTTTTTCTTTTTTTTCTTTTTTTTTTTTTTTTTGCACCTTTTAATATTCTTTTTTTGTTCTGTATGTTTAGTATTTTAATTATTATGTGATAAGGGAACTATCTTTTATTATTTGGTAATTTTGTATGCTTCTTGTACCTTGATAGGCATCTCCTTCTTCAAGTTAGGGAAATTCTCTTCTGTGATTTTGTTGTAAATATTTTCTGGACCTTTGAGCTGGTATTCTCCTTCCTCTATTCCAATTATTAGTGGGCTTGGGCTTCTCATAATGTTCCAGAGTTCCAGGTTGTTTTGTACCATGAAATTTTTAGATTTAACATTTTCCTTGCCTGATGTATCCATTTCTTCTATTGTATCTTTAATGATTGAGATTCTTTCTTCCATTTGTATTCAGATGCTATTAGGGATCTTAGGGATCCAGGGAGGTGTGGCCAATGGGGAGGGAATGCTGCCTCTGGAATGTGCTATTCCAGTGCTAGGGGCAACTGTGAAAATTAGGTCTTGGGTAACAGATAGTGTGGTAGACCTGTAGACAGCCTTCCTGGTCTTTTGGAGGGCATGGCATGTGTTTGAGCAAGGGGTGTCTACCCAAGTAGGTGCTAAGACACTAAGATAAGGCAGGAAAGGAAGGTTGGTTGGGGATGGTCCATTGGATGCACAGGAGGAAATGAAGCTGCCCCTCATATTTTTCAGGATGTTCTGTGGTATCTACAGTGGGTGTGGAAAGTCGGGAAAAAGAGAGATATGGCACTAGGGGTAACCCTAAGTATTGGATCTCAGATAACAGAGAGTGGGGATGGTCCACAATCATCATACCTGGTCTCTTACCCTGCATCTTAATACTGATGATCAAGTTCTCAGGAATAATTTTTTTACTTTGTTTTTTATTTTGATTTTTGTTTTTAATCTGTAAGACTTTTTCTTAATTGTTTAAAATTAAGGAAAATTACTATGTGGGCTAAGCAGGTCACTCAGGAAGTATTCTTCTTGGGGGTAGAACTAAGTTCAGATACCAGCACCCATGTCTGGAAGCTCATAAGCACCTAATGCTTGAGATGCAGGAGATCAGATACCCTCTTCTCTGTTGTGTCATCTGTACACACATGGACCACATTCTGTCTTTCCCATACAAACATAATTATAAAAATGGGATAGACTTGTTTTCAAAACTGCTTTTATGACTTAAGCAATTAGAGAAAAAGAAGTTGCTTTAGTTGTAAAATACCAATGATCTTTTTTTTTTTCTTTTAAATCTGTTATCTTGTCTTTGGTTCTTAAAATTTGCATTTCCCCAGTCTGATGCATACTTAAATACAATCATCAATTATAGGAAACAAAATGCTTTCTAAGTGATGGTAATAGACATCCTTTTTCTTAATCATAAGATAATGAGATACTTTTAGTAGTCAAAACTTCTTTCTCCGAAACTGAAGCATTAGCATTCTTAATTTCTCTAATTTTAGTAGAATAGCCAGCCCCCTCCACTCCCAATCTATTTTCTATTATAGAAAAAAAGACAGAACCAGTGTGCTCAGAATGAGTACTGATCAGTGATTTCTTTGATTTTGATTATAATCTTTTATTTGTTAGTTAAATTAATGGTATATTTACAGATCTGTTTTTGTTTATCATTTTTTTCAGTGGTGCCATCTATGTTGTATGATTCTAATACTTATAATCTACTTCTATGATTGTTTCTCTAGGAAATGATGGCGCTTTACCTATTTTTTCTCTTCTGAAATTATACTACATTGTGTTATGAGTTACTTGAGTTTTTGTTGGTTTGAGAAGTTTCTGTTGACAGTTTCCTCTTCTTACCCTTTAAGGCTTGCTTCTTGTTTCTTGACAAATCTTTGTTTTCCATTTGTTGCAATCATCAATATTTCTGTTTTGCTACTTAAATGTTTGATGTGATGCTTCACATAGGGAGTGGAAGTAAACAAACCAAGCAATGTATGAGAAGTTGCAGCGAGAGGGTCATCTAAGCCCTTTGAAACTGAAGCTTCATGTGCCTGAGACAGAACTTCAGGGTTTTGGTGTTTGTCCTGTTGGGTTTCTTGTGTTGGTCCAGTCTTCCCTCACTATGCACCCATTCCTCTCTACTCAATTGGAAAAGGTATTCCATACCATTGTCTGTTGAAAATATAACTTGTTTTGTTATTTTACAATATGTGACAGTCCAGTGATTTCCTAGAGTATCAAAAGAGACTTTGGACACTTGGACAGTGTAGGGGCTGTTGCCGACTAGGAGATCACTGGGAGTTAGACTAACTACATGTTCGCCTTGGGATGACTATGAAACTATAATGACAAAAATCAGAATATAGTTGTTTGAATCACAAAGCTCCCAGACAGGATTATGTCTTTGAACACTCATCATAGCTTTCTATGGGGAGCTTATGAGAGATTTTGCAGGAAAAAACTTTTCTAGATGAAATTCCTCATTGGGGATGGGATTTGAGTGTCCATAGACTCAACCCATTTCCTGTTCTTTGTGTCTACTATCTTGTGATTGAAACTATTCATTCAGCTTCTTTCTTGTGCTGTCATGCCTTCACCATAAATTCTATAATTCACTATAAATTCTATTCCTATGTCACATAAGATACAGTAGAAACAATTTTTATTCAGTGGTATGATATTTTGCTAGCCTAATTTTTTTATATTTTGAATTTTGTTTTTATGTTTTTGATGATGTATATTTCTCTGTGTAGCCCACACTGTCCTCAAAGTAGGCTTATAGACCAGCCATACCTTGAACTGAAAGATCCTACTCATTCTGGCTCTTGCTTGCTGAGACTGCAAGTGGGCTAATATGCCTGTCATTTGTTTTTGTTTTAGTTTTTGCTTTTATGTTATTGGCCTGAAAGTAAAATTTTGTACATGTCAAGCATATGCTGTTGTGCTGAGCTTCACCCATATCTTGAATTTTAAAATTTGGCAGAGAGTATCATTCTATTTCCCAGGATGGCATGTACTCATGACATTAATACTACCTGAGCCTTCTGAGTCACTGGATTGCAGGTGCGTGACATTCTTCCTACCTGTTGTGTGTTCTTATTAAATTTTTGTTGGAATGCATATGAGTATTTTACCTGTATGCATGATTATACACCTCATTGTGCCTGGTCCTCACCATATTCAGACATTGGCCTCAGACCTCCTTAACTGCTTGGACTAATAGATGGTTATGATTAGCCATGTAAGTACTAGCAATTGAGTGTTTTTATTTTCTGGTCCAGCAAGAGCTCTTCACTGTTAAGCCATATCTCCTGCTGTATGTTGGCAATTTAGCACCAATATTTACAATTTTATCTGTCCATTTATAACAGTTTAAACATGCATTTCCTTTTAGTAAGATCTTATTAATGTTATTGTTTTAACTGGGGCACCTCAGATTTCTGGTGGATGAATACAGAAATGGAGTAGATGTATAGTTCTTTTTAGGAACTTAAGGAAAAACCTCTGAGTTGTTTCTATATTTTTTGTTTGATTGGTTGATTTTTAGTGGATCAAAATGGTTTTAATATGTACCTATGGCTGTACTTGAACTCACTGAATAGACCAGACTGACATCTAACTCAATGAGATACTTTCTGCCTTTGAGCGTAGGGATTAAAGGCATGAGCCAATAGACCAGCTTGCTCATTGTTTTTTGTGATTAGTAATTGTTCAGACAATTTCTCTGATGTTTGCTCAATACTATTGATCTGTTTGATTGTCTCTTTTATGTTTGTTGTTTAGCATTTCTCTTGTAAGGCTATATCAAAGGGTACAGAAATGACAGTGGTGAACCTAATTATTAAGTTTCCTTCTAAAATGACTTAGTAATTTTATTAGAATTTCTATGTCAGGTAATAATCGGGGAAGAACCAGAAGTATATGAATATATTATTAATGAAGTATACATCTCCAATGTTGTCCCTATTATGCTTTCTGTTTTCTAAATGATTAGGATGGAGTGACCTATGATGATCTGCATGTGAACTTCACTGAGCAAGAGTGGGCTTTGCTGGATCCTTCTCAGAAGAGTCTCTACAAAGATGTGATGCTAGAGACCTATAGGAACCTCACTGCTATAGGTAATACTGTGAATTTTCCTTCCGTTTTATGGTTGTGAGCCTAGCGTCTAGCAGCTGAGTTATCTCTCCAACCCTTCCTTCCCTTTTTAAAATAAAGGACAGCTGTTTTGTTGTTGTTGTTGATGATGCTCTTCTATAATTTCAACTGAGAAGAAGGAAGAATGAGGTAAATATATCAGGCATGAGTCTAAGGTTCACTGAAGATAGTAACTTAAATTTTGCATAATTTCCAATAATATATTATATGTTTTCTGGTACTATATTTTAGGCTATAATTGGGAAGATAACAATATTGAAGAAAATTGTCAAAGTTCTAGAAGACATGGAAGGTAATTATCATGTGCAAGATAATACAAATATGCCTCTGAGGAAATTTTAGTGTGTTCTGGAAGATTTAAGGAAAAGAAACAGTGTAAATAAGCACAGCTCTAATTGTATTGGTTATTACTGAGTTCTCACAAAACCATGCACCTCAATATCAGGTATCTGATTTGTGTTTGCAAAAAAGGAGACGTGGTAACAATGTCTTTACAGGTATCACCATTTGAATCATAGCACCATTAGAGCTACACTGTAGATGACAATCCACTTAGTCTTGTACCACTCAGATATTGCAAAAGGTGTACACATTGAATAGGGGATAAGTGTATGTCCAAAACCTTTTAATAAGCACATAGTCCATAGTAAAGCTGGTGATACCCATATACTTATAGGAATATTCCTAAGTTTCATGAGAGGGGCAGTTTATAGAAATCAAGCAGGTTGTTGTGGAGAAACTTTAATGCTTATATCACATATCTATGAGAAACAAAGGTCAAAGTGTGTGACTGCAGTATGATTTGTTATTCTTCCTTTCATTGATATATCATATGTCACAATGACTACAAGGCATGTATGCATACGTGATGATGAAAGAAGTAAAGTAACTCTGTTTCTCCCAGAGCAAGTAGAAGATATGTGATAATTCCAAGTTAGGGTAGGCTTTTTGAATGTGATACAAGTTTACAGTTAATTGGTTTTCCAACTTCATTGGGAATATGTCCACAAACTCCCGCTGCAGTAAATCCCTATGAGTGTTAGAAATCTGAAAATTCTTCTGTTTGTTCTGGCTCACTTTTCAAATGTAGTATGGCTCACTTTGATGGAAAATTTATGAATGCATTAAGTATGGTAAAGCTCTAAATTCTAATTCTCTTCAAATTTGTGAATCACTTCATATACAATTGGGATGCTGTAAGTGTAAGCCAAGTAATAAATGCTCTTGCTATCACTTGTATCTTCAAAGATGAAAAACAGCCCATAGTGAAGGGGAACACCCTGAGTGTAAACTAAGTGATAAAACCTTCATATCTGATTCCTCTTTACAATTAGACCAAATTGTAAAATTAATTCATACAGATAAAAAGATTCCTCAGTGTAATAAATGTGATAAACCTTTCACATGTTTCAATTGTCTTTACAGGCATGAACGAAGTCATACTAATAAGAAACCTTACAAATGTAATCGATATGATAAAGCCTTTTCACAAAACCATCATCTCCGAATGAATAAACGAACACGTACTAGAGAGAAAACTTATGAATGTAATCAGTGTGGTAAAGCCTTTGCACGTCACAGTCATCTTCAGTGTCATGAAAGAATTCATACTGGAGAAAAACCCTATGAGTGTAATCAGTGTGGGAAAGCCTTTTCGTGGTACTGTAGTCTTCAAAATCATAAAAGAATTCATAGTGGAGAGAAACCCTTCAAATGTAATCTATGTGAGAAAGCCTTTTCACAACATAGTAGTCTCCAAATACATAAAAGAACACATACTGGAGAGAAACCTTATGAATGTGATCAATGTGGGAAAGCCTTTGCACGTCACAGTCGTCTTCACAGTCATGAAAGAATTCATACTGGAGAGAAACCGTATGTATGCAATCAGTGTGGTAAAGCTTTTGCACATCACAGTAATCTCCAACAACATAAAAGAACACATACTGGAGAGAAACCTTATGAATGTGACCAATGTACTAAAGCCTTTGCATGTCACAGTAGTCTCCAAAAACATAAAAGAACACATACTGGAGAGAAACCCTATGAATGTAAACAATGTGGGAAAGGCTTTACACGTCACTATTATCTTTCAGTACATAAAAGGATACATACTGGAGAGAAACCTTATGAATGTAATCAGTGTGGTAAAGCCTTTGCATGTAACAGTTTTCTTCTAACACATAAAAGAACACATAGTGCAGAGAAGCACTATGAATGTGATCAGTGTGATAAAGCCTTTGCATGTCACAGTTTTCTCCTGACACATAAAAGAACACATACTGCCGAAAAACACTATGAATGTGATCAATGTGTTAAAGCCTTTTCATGTCAGAGTCAGCTCCTAATCCATAAAAGAATACATACTGGAGAGAAACCTTATGAGTGTAGTCAATGTGGTAAAGCTTTTGCATATCACAGTAGTCTCCAACAACATAAAAGAACACATACTGGAGAGAAACCTTATGGATGTAATCAGTGTGGTAAAGCTTTTGCACGTCACAGTCATCTTAAAAGACATGTAAATATGCATAATGGAGAGAAACCATATTCATGTAATCAATGTGGTAAATCATTTGCAAGTTACAGTAATCTCCAAATACATAAAAGAACACATACTGGAGAGAAACCCTATGAATGCAAGCAATGTGGTAAAGCCTTTACACATCAGCGTTATCTCCTAATACATGAAAGAACACATACTGGTGAGAAACCCTATGAATGCGATCAATGTGGTAAAGCATTTACATGTCATAGTTATCTCCTGATACATAAAAGATCACATACTGGAGAGAAACCCTATGAATGTGATCAGTGTGCTAAAGCCTTTATATGTCAGAGTTACCTACTGATACACAAAAAAACACATACTGGAGAGAAATCCTATGAATGTGATCAATGTTCTAAAGCATTTACACGCCATAGTTATCTCCTAATACATAAAAGAACACATACTGGAGAAAAACCTTATGTATGTAATCAGTGTAGAAAAGCCTTTGCACATCATACTCAACTTCAAAGGCATGAAAGAAACCATATTATACAGAAACCTTACAAATATAAAATCATGTGATCAAGTGTAATGGCATGTAAAAGCCTTTATGTCTGGCTTTAAGTGAAATGTATAGTAAATCCTTTATTCTGGCATTGAGTAAAATGTTTTAGGAAAGCCTTTGCTATATTTGGATTAATAAGTCGATGTTGAGAAATTGTTTTGAGATTGTTTGAACTTTCAAGGAATGTCTCTTTGGAGAATCTGCATTCGGTTCTGTGTGGAAGCTTTAGCTGCACAGAACTTGATCCTAAGACACTCCTAGGTAACCTGGTGTTCTTTTTTGATTATGGCTAGGATTGAAATTTGTGTAGGCTGTCTGCTCTCATGGATGGAAAGAGGACGATAACTTGGGTAGGTGGAACTTTTTCCAGCCCCAGTTACCTTGTATGAGGCTTAAATAATTTAAGTGGGGTGAACTAGCTGGGTGTCAAGTCTTTTCCAATATGCCGGAACCTCTCTTCTCCTTTGGAAAATGAAGGCATAGCATCTTGGTGAGCTTCTCTCTCTACTTTGGCACCCACAATGAGTACTAAACAATAATGAAGCATTTTTACAATGAGGTAGCTTCCAAATACATAAAAGAATACATACCTGAGAGAAACCCCACCAATGCAATTGTTGTAAAAAAGCAAAAATCCCAAATGTTCAATTTGATCAATGAAGACTCAGGAGCCAGATGCTGGGGTAACAGCCTCTTAGCTCAGAGAGGCAGAGAAAACACACAGCTGACCTTCCTACTCAGCCAGCATCCTAGAAGAAAAAAAATGTCTTCCTCCTGTTCCATGCTCTTTAACACCTTCCAACTCAATCAATGTCCCTTCTTTCTACTTTCTCTTGTTTTCTTATGTTTACTCCCTGTTAACTGGTTGGTTGATCTGCCTCTTGACCCTGGGTTGATGTTATTTAATCTTGTTTCAAGAAAGCTCTTGGATTAAAGATGTATGCTAGGGCTGAGCCAACCTCAACTAGAAACAGTTTTTTTCCAGAACACAATCCAGGGGTTCACAATGTGATCAAATATCCTGATACATGTAGCCAATGTAGTCAAAGCCTTGCATATCAGAGTAGTTTCCAAATACATGAAAGAACATATATTGGAGTGAACCCTATGAATGTAATCAATGTGGTAAAGGCTTTTGCTTAGCACAGTCATATCAAAATCATGAGAGAATTCATATTGGAGAGTAACCAACACTATGAATGCTATGTGTGGTAATGTTTTTGCACATCAAGTTAGTTTTTTATATCGCAAAAAAATTCACACAAGTGTAACATCTTTAGTATATAATCAATATGTTAAACACTTGGTTGTCACAATAGTACATGTCACAGTAGTCTCCATATATGTAAAAGAATACATACTGGAAAGAAACCTTACAGATGTAATCAATGTGATAAAACCTTTTCACTTTACAGTAGTCCTCAAAGGCGTAAAAATTCATACTATAGAGATGCCTTCCAAATGATTGTATTGAAGATTTTGATTGGCTTTAAAATATTTTAAAAGTAAAATTTTAAACCTTTGTTTCTATCTTTGAGTAAAATTTTGCAGCAGAGCTTTTGCTTTATTTGGATTAGACAGTAGAGGCTGAGAAATTGTCTCGAGATTGAACATTGAAGAAATGTTGTCTCCCTGGAAAATCTGCACTTGGTGCTACATGGTAACTTGCAGCTGTACTGTCTTTGGTCCTAAGATACTCCTGGCAAATGTGGAGTTCTTACCTGTGGGTTTTTTGCTCTTAAAGGCAGCAAAAGGCAAAATAACTTAGGTAGTTTGAATCTTTCCCAACCCCAATTAACCTTGTATAATGTTTGAATAAAATAAATGAAACGAGCTGGCACAGTGTCTTGTTGTTTCCAAGACTGAATCCTTCTGATTCTTTGGAAGATGAAGGCTTAGCATCTTGGCAATCAACGTGGTGAGGCCTTTGCACATCACAGTGATTTTCTAATGCACAAAAGAATGCATATTGGGGATAAACTATATGCCTGTAATCAAAGTGGGAAAGCCTTTGCAGGTCACCATGATTTAATACATAAAGAATACATACTGGAGATAAACACTATGAATGTAACCAAGGTCGTAAAGCCTGTGTGTGTCACAGTATTCTCGGAATACATAAAAGAACAGATACTGGAGAAACTCTATAAATCTGATGAATGTGGTAAAGCCTTTGCATATCAATGGCATCTTCAAAGGTGCAAAACAATACGGTGAACCCTTTGCAAGGCACAGTAGTCTCCAAACACATAAAGGAAAAAAGAAATCCTATGAGTATAATCACTGTGGGAAAGCCTTTGCATATCATGTTTATCTTAGAATATAAAGAAAACACATACTTGAGAGAAACCTTCCTAACGTAGTCATTCTGATAAAGCCGAGAAACCTTCCTAACGTAGTCATTCTGATAAAGCCTTTTCACAACACAGTAATCGTTAAATGCATTACAGAACATGTACTGAATTTCTCTCTCCAGGTGAGAATGGAGCCCAAATTATTCTTAACTCATCAGTGTCATCCCTTTGGCCCAGACTCCCTGAGCTCAGCCATAACTGCTGTGCCCCTGCTATTCTGCCAAAGCCTCTAGTGCAAGGACCTCAGACTTCTCAGTGTTCTGTCATCAGAGTCATGGAAATGAAGGCACCATCCATGTCTTAGGATTTCTTTTTTCTATGTCTGCATCATAGCCAAAACTGGCTTGGTTAAATAGGCCTTGGTTAAAAAGACTAGGCAGTGCTCTAGTCTTTTCCCTATAAGAAGAAAGAGAGAAAAGAAAGAGAGCAGTGTAGAGGGAGAGACACTAGTCCACAGTTGATGCCCTTATGTTTGTTTTTTTGAGATAGGTGTCCACTGAAATATTAAAGATGAAAATAGATAAATAATTTTTTCTGTTGGTATATCTTTTATCATTATTATTATTAATAATAATAATAATAATAATACACAGACACCTCTGTTTCTGGGATTTCAGAGACACATCCAAGCACACCATAGAAGAAAATACTGACTGTATTCCAATGTGTGTTTTAAATTGTTTCTAATTGCACTGGTGCTGAAAACTGTATGTTTTCTGTAGCATCTGGAGAACGTTCCTGGTAAGTACTTTTCAATTAGTACTCACTGTTGCACACAGATGACAAAATAGATTCTCTCTACTCCCTCATCTCTCACCCAGAATAACCATGTTTGTTCCTATACAACTAATTAAATGAGCCTCCACCATGACACCAGATATGTCTTCATTCAATACACTGTTGTATTTTGCTTTGTCCCAGAAAGGCAATAACATGGAAGCCTTAAAACTGCTTTATGAAGAAAAAGGTCTGGAGAGCCTGCAATCACCTTCAAAAAGAACAGTTTAATTATGATTTCCTTTGCAGCATACTCATTGGATCCACAAGTCAAACCTTCCTATGATCCCCATCTAGAAAATGTGGTTACGGAGATTTCCCCCAAAAAGTAGACATATGTCCTGAGAGTGGTTCACGTGGTAGGCTCCAAGACTCTGAGGCTCCAAAATTCACTGTGAAGTACACCTGGGTGCCCTGTAGGAACTGGAAAAGGCATATTTGAAATAGGCCAGTCTGTATAGCACTACTATTCTGGCTACAACAGAAGTATGGAAGACTGACACAGATTTCTGGAAGCAAGATTGTCACACTGTCAGGAAGCAGGAAGCTACTGGGGAGGAGGCATGACAGGCAGCTCTGTAATTTGGCAGAAATGAAACTCACAAAAAGACAAAGGAGGAAGATGCTCTAAAGTCTCTTGACATTTGGAAGTTGGTGGCAGTATTGGTGGTGATAATGGTCACTGATAGAAGATGGTGCTTTTACCAGAATGTTTCACCTGATTTAAGCAGTGCACAGTGCACATGCACAGATGGTCCATAGTCCCTGCTCTATACACATACTCTAAATGTATCACTTATAAGTAAAGTTAAAGAAGAAATAGAGAAAAGAGCATTACTTCTTCCATTTACCTCTTAATTGAAAGTGGAGACTAAAGGCTCTTGGAAGTCACTCCTCTGGCACTAGTTTAAGCTTGCCACCTCATCATTTGTGTGCATTTGGGCTGGCTTCTTAATTTTCATGATGAGGTCTTTCACCTTAGTTTATGAACCAAGGGAAGTTTGCAAATGATTCACAGAGAAGGCAAAGACACACATTTCAACCTAGACTGCATTAGGCACTGCAAGTTCAAATTTCTGAGGGTGGAATTATTAGATTTATTGTGTTTATAAAATGCAAACACAGCTTCATTAATTACTAGCCACTAATAGCAGGCAGAGCTTGTTTGATAAGCAAACAACTAGACATTTTGTTAAAATGTAAACAAAAAATTTTGAATTACATGAATGAATTCACAGATTGTTTTCTGTTGCTTCTAAAGAACTACTTAGCTGCTATAGTGTACATCACCACTTTTGTTAAAAAGGATTAGCCTGCTAGAATTATTAGAAATCTCATTGTGAAAAGTAAAGAACTCTTGACTTTGGAAAGGGTCATCTGTATCTAGGAGAATGTTAGGGATGAAAGATCACCTGGTTATCGGGGATTTGTAAATAAGGGAGCTTTAAGAATACTAGCTAAGCCCTCTGAATTCAGATGGCAACTCAAGAGACAGGCCAAATACAGCTTAAGAAGACTAGATGCCCAGTGCTCTCCAGGGTGGTCTGTTAGTATAATGTTCTTGTGGAATGTATACAATTTACACTTGTTCATTCAAATGCTGATTTCTCTACCTGACTATCTTGTTTCAATCCAGGCATTACATTGTGATGCTTATTCTAAGCATTGCCTGTCTCAAGCTTTTGTAAACATCCCACCATATTTCTTTGTAAATGTCAAACTACCAGCCAGTGCTATGCAATGGAGAAAATAGGTTTGGACATCCTGGTCCGGAGGGAAGGAGAAGGAGTTGAGAGGGGGTGGGGGAAGAGAGAATGACTGGCAGGATAGGACTTGGAACCATGAGGAGAGATGAACCAAACATAAGATATGACTAAAAGCAAGTACAATGGATAAATCTGAATGATAGCAAACTATGTGGGCTTGGAGGTTTAAGATGGAGTTAATATTGCCCATCATTTTGCTCTAGGTTAATTAAATGAATCCTAGTTTTTGTGTGGTGATTTGGGTATACAGCTGGTTTAGGAATAACCACTGCTTAACTAAAAGATAAATCAATTATAAATAGTAATAATCAACAACAAATGGTACCCTAATATTCTAAGAATCCACACCCTTTAAATCATATTTTAATGTAATTTCCTGGGAGAAATAAACTCCCAGCAATACAAGCAAAACTTAAAACCTCATGACTCCCAGGTCAATTACTGTCACTTTAAGAGAGACTCTTAAATAGGCCCAGGAGCAAAAGACCGCAAACTGTGGGCAGACCTGAGACTTTACATAACAAAACTAGCTGCCACTACAGTTTAACAGGCGGGGTACACAAGCATAGCTTTCTTATACTCTGGCTGGCTCAGCTCAGCTCAGAGCAACAACAGCAGCCATGCTGGAAAGAAAGGAACTGTCTAGACAGACCTCTAGATAGAGCTTGGCCTAAAACTGCATCTAAAATTAAAAATGCCATGGCAGAGGATGTTTTAATCCCTTTTGGCTTTGTTTTGGTTGTCATAGTCATGGATCTGGTTGCAATATGTTTAAAGGTACTCATATGGTACTCTTATGCAAGCCCTCTCCAAGAAAGTTCAAGGAGAAAATGAGGAAAAGCCAAGGAATGGAGTACTAAGTTACAGACAATAGAAAGGGCACTCTTCCTAAACAAAATTAGATTAATAGCAGCTAAAATTCAAAGCTCTCTGGCTGCAAGATACTTGTCAGATCTTTCTGGTATGGGTCTGTGGAGTCACTGTAACAACAACTAAATTCAATTAAAAACAACCAACTGGGCCTTGCTTGTTACAGCCTAAACTGTCACAACTGAACCAAAACTTAAATTTTTCTTGTCTCTTTGCTTGATTTTCCTTTAAAGGCTTTGAGTTACAATGATACCAATTTGAGAAAAAAAAATATTTGAACAAGTTGGTGAAGGCACATTCCTTTAATCCCAACACAAAGTGAAAAGAAACAGGCAGAGCTCTGAGTTCCAGATCAGCCTAATTTACATAATAAAAGCCAGGAAGGCAACTCCTGCTGTTTAGTCACTTGCAGAGCTAGCTAGCCTAGGATTCAAAATGACAAAATTTTCTTTATGGTTACCATGTAAATTCTTTTTTCTTAATAAGAGATGTTATGTCCTTACTGATCTAAAGGTTGGATTCACTTCAATTTTAGGTTTATATAAGGAGAGATGATGTCAAACTCCTCTAAAAAGGCCAGCCAATCTCAAAAACTGGCCCCTCCACACAGAACTGGTACAAAAGGGCATTTTGGCTTAAGAAATATGTTGTGTTGATCAATGTAAGGACTCAAATTTAGGCTGGGAGACAAACATGCAAACTGCATGTCTCCCACATTAAAAAAAAAAAAAAAAAAAAAAAAACAAAAAAAACCAAAAAACAAAAAAAAAATCCTTTTAAATGTTGACTATCTCATATTGCTCTGAAGCTGGCTTATCTTTTCAAATGTGAGACATTTTCAAGCGAGGGGTGAAGGGCAAATGTCAGTCATGCCTGATGCAAAAAAGACACAGGGGGCTTTCAGGTAGCAAAGTACATGCCGGCCTATTTTAAGTCCTAGAAACTCAAATATTAAAATTCGTATGTTAAAAAGGCTGAACCATCCATCCCATATCAAAAAAGGTGCAAGCCAAAGAATAGCCACAACCAATTTAAAAAATCCAAGTACAAGATGCCTATGGTATGC